TGAGTATGTTTCACGCTGGCCCATGGCCTGGCCGCTCCCCAACCAATCGGCAGTGACGATTACTGAGGCATTCCTCAATTGTTATTTGATGGACAAGGGTGCTCCTGAATGTCTTTTGACCGATCAGGGCATTCTTTTTTTTTCTAAATTGTTGTTTGAAGTCTGCGATTTGTTAGGAACGAAGAAAGTACGCACGTTATTGTACGACCCACGGACGGATGGCATGTTTAAGCAGCTTACGACATATCTCGGACGGCATCCGTGAACATAAAGCAAACTTGAAACACGGTAGGACGAACACCTCAGCCGTGGCAGATCACTGTTATAATTCAGTGGGCTCACATGACATTGACTTCTCCAAGACGGAGGTTCTCTGTAAGCCATCCGGCTACCATGAAAGATTCGTTCATGAGGTTATCCACATATACAAACACAGAAACAATTTCAACCGAGAAGATGGATTCTGGCTTAGTAACCATTGGAAAGACGTTATAAACCATTTCGGTTCTTGATTGATTGTATTTTACGGTGACTTTCAGACCGCAGTCCATTCGCTGGTATTGCCTCTTAGTACCTTTCACACGACGGTCAATAGTATGGTTTATATAGCATTTTGTATAATAATAAATAGTATAACAGTGTAATGTTTAACATAATTCATAAGGCAATATATAGTACCGTAATTGTATAGCGAATATACAGGAGTGTGGTATACAGTAGAGTTGGTAGAATAATACATAGTGCAATACTACAAGTCTAATATTTTACGGTCTAAAGTATAGGGTAGTGTATAGTAACGCATTGTAGAATTCAAGGGTGGGGTTTGTCTATGGCAGTGTATATTACGGTGTATAGTCGTGTAATTTAGAAAAAAAAGTTTAGTTGGAGGCATTTCAATACAATGCATAATGTTAGAGCTTACATTGGGCTGTGTATACGATATTATACATTGTAGTTTAGATTGGAAGGTATAATATTGTAATGTATAGTAGTCGAGTTTATAGCATAGTTATAACGCAACACAGGACAGAGCAGCGCATCGTGGCTGTTTTTTTCTCTCCCCCCTCCTCCGTTCCGAACATAGATGGACTCGTCCATCTGAAGAAAGCTCGTTGCTCTCCGTGGTGCTAATCCCTCACACTAACATGCTAATCCCCCAGTTACATGCTAATTTCTGACTTTAACATCCTGCTAATCCAACACATTAAGACAGCTACTGTTGATATGTAAACTCCTTTGTCAAGGCGCTCTGCTTCTCCCACCCAGCTTAAAAGATGCTGCCAAGCCTGGCAGTGTTCACTGAAGCGCTGTCTTCCTGACAGTTCTGTTTCTTCACCTGAGGAAAGCTACTTGTGTTGTGGCCGAAACGTCATGATGATTTTTTGAAATGTTTTATAATTATTTTATTTCCATTCTACGTGACTTTACCGAAAGAATCAAGAAGATGAGCCCAACTCGATTGGAACTTATACATTCCTGCAGTCCTGGCCGCTTATAGGATGGCCCCTCACAAATCCACCGGCTACTCACCGTTTTTTATGTATGGAAGGGAAGACGATCCCCCGATTGACGTTCAGTTACAAGCCGCACCCAACAGGGCTAAATCTAACATTTCAGACTTTGTGCGTTTCACTCTTAAAAAGCTTTCCGAGGCACGTTAAGCTTCCAGGGTAAATCCTGAATCGTGCCAATTAGCCAATGAGCGGCTTAAGGGGGTCCGTACTTCTACGCATGAGTGGGTACCTGGGGACAGAGCCTGGTTGCACTCTCCACAGGTACCGGTGGGTATGTCGCCTAAATTGTTCAAACCCTGGAGAGGGCCGGTTGATGTGATTCGGGTTGTTCGGCCGCAGTGTGTCCAGATCCGCTTGGGACGGTGGAATTGGTTCATACATCCCTCTCGCCTAAAGCCATTCATCACTCCACGCGAGTTCATATCATCTCCCTACCACAGGGGCCAAGTGTCGAGTATGTCCGACGAGCCGAGGTGTGTGCCCGCTGAAGTTGGTCCTCAGTGGAGTGATTTCGTTCCGTCCTCAGGTGCCACGCACCTGACGTCCCCCAAGCTGGCTTCGCTGGCTTTGGATGAAGAGGACCTGTCGACTCGGCCTACTGCTCTTCGTGAGGAGCTGGGTTGGGTGGAACATTTGCATATTCCCTCCGGGACCTCCAGGGTGAGCGAGCCCACCTCCCCTGGGGGCCTGGCAACACGGACTCGCTCAAATTCTCGGTTTTCGTGATCCCCATGCACACATGCTCCCATGCTGTCAGTTGGTTGTCACACTCGTTGGGTCATGGCGGCTATTGGCTGAACATAGCCGTTATTGCACTCGCGGGCGTTGTTACACGGTGAAGGTGGGAGGTGTTGGTAAGTAAGGGGATTCCGAGTGTTCACGTGTTTTAGTTTTTTTTTCTCTTGCTCTCGCATGTTATTGTTTGGGCTTACGCCCTCTTTCCCTATTGGTTATGAATATAGTGTAATTATTGTATAGGTGGGTTTGGGTATTTATTGGTAATTGTTCTTGTTATTGTTGAGATACACATCGCGTTTTATCACCTTTTACTCGCTCTTTTATTGCTTTACTCACTTGGTTTGTTTTAAAGGGGGGAGTTGACAGCCAGGACGGCTGTGTGCTACGAAGGGGGGGGGGGTGATGTAGTGACATCGTGGATGTCACTGTATGGTGCCGGCCCTAGAGGGGCATGGCATGCGATATTCTCACATCGCGGACATCACGTATGTAGCAGCGGCGTGCATGTCACCGAGTAATGCCGGCTCTAGCAAGGCACAGCGTGCGATGCACCATCATCGCGGACACCCCATAGGTGGGTGTAGTACCAGCCCTAGTGAGGGCTTGGTGAGCGCTGGGATAGCGCAGTGCCACCACGCATGGCGTGCAGTGCTGTCTCCTACCGGAGGGAGTGGGAGAGTGTCAGCCCAGGGACAGGGTTACCCTGGTCCATGGCACTCTGGTTGACCCTGAAGGCACGTGACCGGTAAAGTCTCCAGGGGGCTCCCAGATGGGGGCTAAGGGCTGGTCACGTGTCCGGGGGAAAGTTGTCTCAAGAAGAGTCGAAAGAGAGCCAGAGCTCTCTTTAAGGTGGGCGGCGCCAAGGGCGGAGCCGGCCCCGACCCGGGAGCATATAAGCCGAGTCCTCACAGCGACCAGGGTCGGCGTTGCTTCTGTCATCTGAAGATCTACTTTCTACATCAAGAAGAGTCTCCCAACACGTGGTCTGGAACCCGAGCCGGGTCCGGTCCGTTTTAGCTAACTCCCAGTGTGTTAGTATAGGTTAGCCGGGTGGTCCACCACCCTAGGCTGTTATCTGGTAAAGGGACAGCTACGCCTTTGTGTATTCGTGTTGTAATAAATGTGTTGTCTCTAAGAAGTACGCCTGCAACTCAGTTGGGCCCACTACATCTGTATTCAAAAAAATCTGCGAGGTGCAGATTGTCTATTAATGGTTATCAGATTCTGCACACAATTTGGATTAAAAGCACTTAGTGGAGCTGCCCCAAAGTTTTGGAACCACCTAGTTTCGTCTGTTGCCATCTCCATTCTGCCATCTGTCCTCATTCACACTGATTATTAAAATCACTAAATTAAGTGTGAATGTAATTTTACAACATCATTGCTGTGATGAAGTTTTTTTTAATCTGTAATTGTGGAGTGCTTATATGTTAAGTTTTGATTTAAAGCTTTCGTGACTGCAAGGATTTATATTCTTGGTTCTTTCGGTAAAGTTACGCAGAAGGGAAACAATAAAATAATAAAAAATATTAAACAATAAAATTCTCACGACGTTTTGTGAAGAAGAAAAAAAAAAACGCCACTTTTTTCAAATTTTATTGCTGTGGTTTTCACACATGATTTCTTGTGTTGCAGTAAAAACATCGTGATAATTTTATTGTCTTATATTTTTCTTATTGTATTGTTTCCCTTGTACGTGACTTTACCGAAAGAACCAATAATATGCTTACATGTTGTTTGCTGAGTCGCCCTTGAAAAGAAGCTTCTTATCTCAATGGGCTTTACTCGGGAAATAAAACTATTATTATAATTCTGATTTGACCAATGTATACTTATTACTTATGGTGTTTGTTTATCTTGGCAAGGCTGCGAGTCATTAATTTCATGGTCAGCAAAAGGAAGTACTTTATATCCTTCTCTGTGCCCAAGTCAGCTCTCAATGCTGGATTGTGTTGTGACTCTAAGGTAAATTTTATTCCGGTCTGTGGCCTCAATAAAAACTCATACAGGACAGTCATCGACTTACGAACATAATTAGTTATTGAGGCCCGTTCATAAGTCGACCGGGTTGTAAGTCGGAACACAATAACCCATGCGGTCTGTGTTGTGAAATGTGTTAACATTGATGCAGTTTATATTTTAGTTTTTGATTAGTTTACTATATGGTATTCATTATATAGTGTAGTGTATACCCAGTTACTTTATGTTAATAGCTCAACTTATTGAAGAATATATTGAGTACATTTATTATATTGATGTAGTTTATACTTAGTTTTTTCACATCGGTTTATTGTATGATAGTTGGGTAGTTGCAGTCCTTTAGCGTCCATATACTAAATGCCTCTGTTGATATGTAAACTTTGACTTTAACATTGCTATTTCCGTGACCTGTCACATGCTAATCCCTCACATTAACAGCATGCTAATCTCCCAGTTACATGCTAATTTCTGACTTTAACACCCTGCTGATCCAACACTTTAACACAGCAATTTCAATGCTAAATTCTCCTGTTTTATATGTAAACTCCTTTGTCAAGGCGCTTTACTTCTCCCACCTAGCTTAAAAGACGCTGCAAATCTTAGCAGCGTTCATTGAAGCACTGTCGTCCTGACAGTTATGTTCCTTCACCTGAAGAAGGCTACTTGTGTTGTGGCAGAAACGTCATGAGAATTTTATTTTATTGTTTATTTTTATTATTTTATTTCCATTCTACGTGACTTTACCGAAAGAACCAAGAAGATGAATCCCTGCAGTCACGAAAGCTTTAAATCGAAAAGGTACAGTACAGTTAAGTAAAATATATAGGCTATGCATTTATATTATTTTAATACAAGATAATCGTGTGCGACAAAATATCAATAGAAAAGGCAGGGACATCTTTGCTCCCATTTATTTAATGAAATTGAGTGAAAGTAACATTTTCTGAAGTCAAATCATTCCAACTCTTGGTCCATTAATTTTACCACATCAGTTTTTCAAACACCGTCAATAAAATAACGATGAATCCCGTATTGTAGCCTGTCTATATATGTGTAATGATGTAATGATTATCAACTTGTGTTCGGGATAGTAACAATTAATGGAACAAGATGCTAACTAAACACTTCATAAAACAAGCACATAGCTCTTTTACAGTTAAAATATTTTCTAGCCTAATAAAAATGATTCCGTATTAAAATGTCGCTCTTTAAACATGTTCTATAACCGATAATGCATGACCTGCAAACATTCTTGCTATTCATACATGTCTATGTACATTCTTTTATTTTGGCCTAACCTTAGCTAAGGCATGAAGTTGACCCAACATCCGTTTTAAAGGTCGACGTATTTCCTCATCTCTGATTCCATAGAGGAAGGGGCTGAAGAATCTTGGCCAGACAAATAGCAAAAGGTAGACGAATGCTTTTAACGCAGACTTTAGTTCATATTTGCTCACAAACATTTCTATTAACAAGTAACATAACTGAATTGCAAAAGCACCCATGTACAATATTAATTGAACCATATGCAACAATACAGTATTTTTAGCCTTTGATGACTCAACCTGACTTGTACACGCTCGTTTAGCCACTTTAACAATAAACACATACGTAGTTATGAGTGTAATAACACTGCTTACAAATAATATCACAAGCACCGAGGTCCTCACAGTTTCTAAAATTTCCCACATTTGTGAATTGTCCTGTATATGCATACTGTCGCACATGTACATCGTATGTTCGAATGCCACGCGGTCACTTGAAATGAGATAACAGATTTCTGCTAATGGAAGAAGGAATGAAAAAAACCAAATTACACCCAGAGATCGAAACGCGAACCTTTGAGTTAGAATAGCATGATAACGCAGTGGGTGACATACGGCAACATAGCGCTCCACAGCCATCATTGTGATACAACAAATCCCATTGTTGAACAATCCTCTGTACAGATTCATATATATGCGGCAACCCCCAACATTAAAATAGGTTCTAGATAAATAAAATATTGACGCAATGGTAATAGAGAGTAAAAAAATGTTATCACAAATCACCAAGTAACACAAGTATATGTGCTTTACATTTGCTCTCAACGTAATTTCAGAGCAAATTGCATATATCATGCACGCAATAAACAGCATGGACGGTACAATAGTTATGAGAATCAACATGTCACTAAGCGTGTCAACCACATCTTCAATTCTGATAGCGTCATCGTCTGCAGACTTGTTGACGGCTATGGAGATGTTTGATGCGGTCATTATGTCTAGAAAAAACAAACATGCCAATACAAAAATCACTGCATATGTAAATATCTCAAGAACATGAATGGAACTGAAAGTTTGATAGTATCAGCGAGCTTTTTACGTAAAAACAAATGCATTTTACTGAAGTAAATGTCCGTTTATTCTTACAATTAAACTCCACAAATTGCATTATCAAACATGGAATTCACTTTTCAAATCTATCGTATCCAAATTTTCATAATCAATTCATCATCATACAGAATACGTGACCTATATTTATACCCATATTTCATTGTTATATTTCCTGGCTCATACAATACACATTGTATTTGTAGAGTGTTTATAGGCAATTTAATCTTATTGTGCAATAGGGAAGATGGCTATCATAAATAATAGTATATAAAATTATATTATCTTGCATAAACACCAAAATTAAAAGCTTTCGACCATCTTGGAGGGCAGGCAAGGGAGCGAAGTGGCGCTAATGGTGCCTCTCATGAAGGACTTGGGTTCCTTCCTGCCTCGGGTTATTTTCTGTCTCAAGTTTTTATGTTCTCACCTTGTTCTGCATGAGATTCTTCTAGGTGCTCAGGTGTCGTCCCATATTTAAAAAAATCATACAATGTAACTGGTATTTGCCAAATATCTCAATTATGATTGCATATATCAGTGGTGCCGCATGCCTGTTATCCAGCACTGAGGCGAGTGTTGATAGATCGCATATATTTTGTGCAACTCCCTTCCCCAGTCGCCAGGAGAAGGCAGTACATAAAGCACGTGGTGCCCTCTCACGTGCATGGGTTTTCTCCGGGTAATCTGTTTTTTCCTACACGTACAAACACTCATGAGTTGGCTGAAAACACCTTCAAATAAAACCCAATGCAGGACCCTTCTGAAAAATAATCTTGCAGTGTAGTTCTCCAGAATAAATAAATACATTTTTGAAACATTTCTGCTGATTTCAATACTTGGTAGGACTCTCCTGAACAGGAGTCTTGAGACTTAGAATAGGAAAACACAAAGTTCAATGCCATCGGATCAGGGTTAAAGTATAATATAAATGTACACACCTAAAGGCTGAATTAAAGCAGGAGAAATTCGTCAGCAATGCACAGGACCATGAGCAGGGGATTAAAGAGGGAGTTGAAAATGTAAATAAGCCACCAGTCATCAGGCAGAGGACGAATGGTTAATAAATATGCAAAGGAAGAGCATGACATGCCAAAAAAACAGGAAGTAAGTCCTTGATAATGAGACAAGTGGTTTTGCTTACATGTAAGAATGAGATTCCTGGTAATGTCATTCGATTGCTAATTTTCATTATTTTTCATGTGACCAAGGAATCCACTCCCATGTTTTAAACAAATCAGACATCATACCTTTTGTTGGAGTAGGTTGAAATCGAAAAAAACTAAGAAGGTTGAAGCCAGTTAAGAGTAAACAGAAAATCGAGGCAACAAAAGAGATTAGACGTGAGTTGGTGTTTACATGGTGGCATCATTTAAATGGTGGCCACAGTTGAAGCTGGGATGATTTTCCCGAGTGGAATTAGATAAATTGAGAAACATAACAGACGCCTGTGATTTCCATAGCAAAACAGACTAAAGTAGGCTTCAGGAGTCATATCATTACCTAAAGTAGAATCATACATGTTTTTTGAGATGCTTGTATTAGGAGGCTACTTCAGCTATGCACTTTTAAATCTAGATTGAAAACTATTTTCTTTAGAACTGCTTTTGTGTTTAATTTGTTTGTCCTTCCCCGCACTTACAATTAATACGGTTGTCTATGTATGGTGTGAAAGAAGTTCAACATGCATACACAAATTCTTGAAAAATCTTTTGGAGCATAGCACGGTCAGTTAAGTTAAAATCTGAGGTCTAAACGAGTTGACTTGACCTCCACATATCAAAAGATATGAGGGCATTACATTCATGAAATGCCCACATACGTTTTGGTATTATTTTAGTATTTTGTTCATCCCTGCTGGGACTCTGGTGTGGGGCTTGATGTTAAGCCTGTCTGCCTGGGAGCTGAATTTCTGCAGCTCAATTCTGGAGTGTGCTTACATCCCAGCCTGGCCCTAGTGAGGGCTGCCTGCCTTTGGAACGGCTCTGCTGTGCTTTTGCCGTACATCTCCAATGCAACTCTGGTTACTGCAGTTCATCTCTGTTGATCCTCCATTTCTAGGACCCTGATGGGACCTGCCTGCCTTCATTTAATCTCTGTAGTGTGCCGTGTTCCACTGGGGTTTTGGTCAGAGTTTGTTATTTACTGCTTTCTACCTGCAGCTGCCTCCTCCAGCGAATGTTACCTACGTACATACATACATACGTGCCAACTCAACTCTACAGCTTGACTGCTGTTTTAACCCACAGCGTGCACTCAACCCTAAACTGGCCTTTACCCCCAACTAGTGCTAGCTGTCTATCCTGGTTCTGTCTGTTTCCTGCTTGCCATGCATGGCACAATGGAATCTACGGATGAAATGCGCCGTACAAATGTAAATGATTACTATTTTTACGGTATTTCTTTTGGTGCTATCTGCTTGCTGCTCAACCTTGCATGCCAACTGCTCAATTTGTACTGTGCTGATTTCCGCTGCTGGGACTCCACTGAGACTCCTTCTCGTGGCTTAGTTCTGTGGTTTATCTATATATGTGTAGTGTGGTAAAATATGCGGTGCGCACTCTTGGCCGAGGGCAATCGAGGGCAGACAGGTGCGCGTGTGCAACGTGAGGTTGCACGAGCATACCTCCACCTCATTAGGGGGAGAATCGGGTGCAGACGGGGTCAGCCCGGGGTTGAATGTTGACACCGGAGGTATTGCCAGGGAGACGTGCGATAAGGGGTGATTGGTGGCCTGACAGGCACTAGCTGTCAGCCCTAAAGAGACACAAGGGAGAACCGGGACAATTGGGAGGGGGATATAAGGAGACACGTGAGAGCGGAGTGGGAGTTCTTGTTGCTGGGGATCAGAGAGAGAAGATGTCTCGCTGCTGCCGCTCAAGCCGAGAATGGACCTCAACCCTCACGAGTCGCCGGGCGGGTGATGGTTGATCCCCCCGCCCGGGTCGGATGAGTGAGTGGGTGTGAGAGAACGTAGTCTGTGTGAGTGCTGCTGTATGCAAGCCTCTGTGTGAGTGAAGCTGTGTGCAAGCTTCTGTGTGAGCACTGCTGTGTGCAAGCCTCTGTGTGAGCGCTGCTGTATGCAGAGCCTTGAGTGCAGAGCTGCTGAGAGTAAAAGCTGCTGTGTGCAAGGCCTTGAGTGTGGAGCTGCCGAGAGCGAGAGCTGCTGTGTGCAGGTTAGTGAGGTGTAGTGTAGATAAGAGTGGGAATTAGTAAACAGAAGTGACTGTAGCAACGGTGATAGGAGTGCCTACAACTGGTGCGAGAATAGTCTAATAAAGTGTAAGCAGGTGACCTGTTACAACGTGTCAGTCTGAGTGATTTACAAGATGCTACATTTGGTGTTAGAAGTCCCAACGAACCTTCGCCGTCATGTCCAAGTCGGCGTCGAAACGAAGAAACCCACCTACTGTGTCATCGGACGACAAGGCTGAGCAAGACGTCATCCCTCCAACAGCTCCGGTTGCCGGGGCTTTGAGCGCCTTCTCCGACAAAATGCAGTAGTCGGTGCAGGAGACCATGGCAAGTTCAACCCTGCCGCCTCCTCCGCAGAGCTGGTTGGACATCGCTGGTCATCTGGGGAGGCTGTTGTCGGCCGCCGCTCATCTGTTTGAGCGGATGACGGCTGCATCGACTATTGGACACCAAGACGCACTTCTCGCCGCTGTCGTGTCCTAGGTGACAGGAGCGGGGGACCCGGCCACCATTTCGGAGGCTGCGGCTGCACTCCCCAAGTCCGCCATTTTGCGCAATCGGACCACGTCGCAGCAGCAGCCGCCGATTTCCAAGGTGGAGGACGCCTACAAACTTCGTGACTGATGCTGGTGCGCCAGTTCCTAGCTGCAGAAGGAGATTGGACGGCTTTTCGTCATCGGTTTGAGGCCGCCTACATCTCGGTGGAATGGACGCCCTGCGAAGTGCTCCGAGCTCTTCCCACGGCCCTCGACGATGACCCTCACGAGCGCTTACACCGAGATGGTCGCTATTTATGACCCCCTGTCTAATGTTAGGAGAAGATTTCGGCTGCGGCAATGGGGCGAGAACAAGACACCGCTGGCGTACCGCAGCGTTCTCCTCGCATTAAGGCATGCGGCTTTTCCTCACATGGACAGGGTATCTCTGGATTCTCTTGCCTTGGAATGCCTTCTCTCTTTGAATCGGGAATTGGGGGTCACCCTCGTGGTGACGGAGGACAATGACCTAACTTCTCTGCAGGTGGCCCGCGGCATTCAAACACACTTCAACCTCAACGACCGGCCGGCGGCGGCGGCCAGTACGTTGGAGCCGGTCGCGGACAAGCATGTGGGTGTCTCCTTCACTCATGGAATGGAGGAAAGGGGTGCTGTACGGCACCCGTTAGTGTGGGAATGGCACCCCAGGCTGAGCCAGCCACCGGACCGCCCTTACCGTACCTGCTACTGGTGTGGCTGCGTGGGACACATCGCCATCGACTGCCACCGTGGGACCGGAGGGTTCCTGCCGCATCCATCCTCCAGCTTCAACAACTCTTCCTCCCGCAATATACAGGTGAGTCCGGATACATCAGACACGCGGCCGTTTTTTGTCCCATCACCCATCTAGAATAGGTCGTGCGTGGATTCTGTCTGTGTCATTTCATCCCATCGCGGGTTGTACACGGGGTGCGCGTTTGATAATGTATTGGCCATGCCGCGCCGATCAGTGGGATACGCTAGCTCATTGAGTTGTGGGTGCCGTGGCGGGTTCTTCAACAATTGTGGGTTTGATTCAAAGGATCCAGGTTCGGTTGTTAATAGACACGGGGGCCATTGTGACTATGGTTTCCGAGGCTGTGTTCCGTACGTTGCCTTCAACGTCCGATCCTCTTGCCCCTATGGAAAGCGCTTGTGTTGCAGTTAACGGGGGGAGCCTGGGTTTAATGGGGCAAATGTCGGCCTCTGTTCAAATTGTGGAAATCTTTTTGGAAGGTCAAATATTAGTTTCACCAACATTAGCCATGCCCTGTTTGTTGGGCACTGATTTTCTAAGCAGGATGCCTTTGAAAATTCTAATCGACCAGGGGTGCATTGAATCACTGTCGGGACAACATTTCTCTCCTCCATCATCACATCAATACGGGCAATTCACCCCCAATTAAGATTAATTCGCATAGACTCAGCCCCGCTGAGAAGGAACAGGTATGCCTGGCTGTTGATGAGATGCTGGCAGTGAATATTATTGCTCCATCCAATAGCCCGTGGGGAGCGCCCATAGTCCTAGTGAAGAAGCGTGATAGAAACTTAAGATTTTGCGTTGATTTCCGCAAGTAAAATAAGATATTGGCGGCAGATGCGTATCCCCTTCCTCATATGGACAACTCGCTTGATGCATTGTCGGGCGTGCAATTCTTTTCGACACTCGATTTATTGTCCAGATTTTGGCAATTGCCCCTAGCTGACGAGTCGAAACCAAAAACTGCTTTTCGTACACACCAATGCCTTTAGCACTTCAATTGCCTTCTGATGGGAATTAATTGAGTGCTGTAAACGCCCGGGTACTGTATGTCTGGAACAGCATCTTTTACAGATGGAACTAGATCACGGATTTTATGTACTGTGTTGAATCGGACCTGGATCTTGTGTTTATTCAGGATTTTGGAGATCTTTTTGGTGACCCCTGCAATGTAGGGTAAGGTGATGGTTTTGAGTGGCTCCACCAGGGGATCCTTCTTCATGACTGGAGTGATGGCTTTGCGGATTGTGTAGTCGGAGTAACCATTAGCCTAATGGTTACTCCGACTTATCCTACATTGCAGGGGTCACTAAAAAGATCTCCAAAATCCTGAATAAACACAAGATCCAGGTTCGATTCAACACAGTACATAAAATCCGTGATCTAGTTCCATCTGTAAAAGATGCTGTTCCAGACATACAGTACCCGGGCGTTTACAAACTAAAGTGCCTCTGTGGTAGTAGCTCCATTGGAGAAACCAAACGACATATCTCGGACCGCATCCGCGAACATAAAGCAGACTTGAAACACGGTAGAATGAACTCCTCTTCCGCGGCAGATCACTGTTATAATTCAGTGGGCTCACATGACATTGACTTCTCCAAGACGGAGGTTCTTTGCAAACCAACCGGCTACCATGAGAGATTCGTTCATGAGGCCATTCACATATACAAGCACAGAGACAATTTCAACCGCGAAGATGGATTCTGGCTTAGTAACCATTGGAAAGATGTTTTAAACCATTTCCGTTCTTAATTAATTGTATTTTACGATGATCTTCAGACCGCAGCTCTTTCGCTGGCATTGACTCTTAATACCTCTCACACCACGGTTAATGGTATCGTTTACAACATGGAGTATAACAGCGCCTCGCAGCTGTCTCTCTCCCCCTCCTCTGTTCCGACCATGGATGAACTCGTCCGTCTAAACGGGACCCGTAGCTATCCGTGTTGCTAAAGTTGAGGGTAAGAATCCACCCATTTTTCGCCATATAGCATTGTGATATATAACGACTTATTGTTGGTAGCTTAGCTGATTGGAGAATATAGAGTTTATTGATAACATTGAGTTAATTTATATTTTAGTATTTTTTTATTGGTTCACTATATAGTATTCATTATATATTGTATTGTATACCCAGTTACTGTGAATAGCTCAGATGTGTAGGCCTTAACTTCAACATAGCCATTTCTGTGACCAATCACAAGCTAATCACTCAGTTATTTCAATGCTAAATTCCCCTAGTTAGTTCAATGCTAAATTCTCCTGTTTGATTTGTACTAGGTGCCTCGGTGAATGTATATGCTCTGACTTTAACATAGCTATTTCTGTGACCAGTTACAAGCTAATCACTCAGCTATTTCAATGCTAAATTCTATGCTTATTATTTTGTCAAGGAGTGCCTCTGCGGATGTGTATACTTTAACTTAGCTATTTCAATGCTAAATTCTATGCTAATTCCTTTGTCAAGGGGTGCCTTTGCGGATGTGTATGCTTTAACTTTAACATAGCCTTTTCTGTCACCAGTCACAAGCTAATCACTCAGCCATTTCAATGCTAAATTATATGCTTATTCCTTTGTCAAGGCGCTTTGTTTCTTCTCACACAGCTTAAAGGTCGTGATCTCAGCGTGGCTTTCTCACTCCAGCGCTGTCCTCCAGACAGTCTCGTTCCCTTCACCTGATGAAGGCCGCTTGTGTTGTGGCCGAAACGTCGTGAGAATATTATTGTGTTATTTTATTTTATCAATTTATTATTTTATTCTCATTCTACTTGACTTTACCGAAAGAACCAAAGAAGATTTGCTATAGCAGGAGATGAAGGAGAGCCCATTGCTGCTCCTTCCTTTTGTTTAAAGAAATCCCCTCTCCATACGAAGTAAGTGTTATTTAAACAATGGTCAGCAAGTTTCGGAATATCTTTTGGTAAACCTGTATTCTTTACTAGTGTATCAAGTAATTTAAGCCATTCGTTCACTGGAACCTTAATGAATAGAGAAATCACATGAAAACTTACCAGAATATCATTATGATTAAGTTTAATATCTTTAATCATATTCACAAGATGTTCTGAATTTCTTATGAATGAAGATGTCCTATCGATGTAGGGCTGTATTTGTTTAGTTAGATATTTTGCTAATTTATATGTGGCAGAGCCAATTGTACTGACTATGGGTCGTAATGGTATGCCGATATTATGAATCTTTGGTAGCCCATACAGTCTAGGTGGTTTTGAGGCCCTTGGCTTAATTTGGTGTTGCTCATTCTTAGGGATTAATTATTACTGGCAAAGACTAATTAGAGAATCCATTGAAATTGAGAGAAACAGAAATAACTTTAATCGTTCTGATAGCTGTAGGCTTAGTGCGGCTTGGAAGCGTATTATTAAATAATACATATTACAATT